CACAAGGCAAAGGCACCTCTTGTAAGAGAAACCAGTCAATGAACTTACTGCCTGCTCAAAATCCTTCCAGGCTAACACAGACACCACTGAAATGGCAGAGAAATGTTTCAGTTACCTACTCTGCTTGACTGAAAACCAACAGATAAGGAGCACACCAGTAACATGCAAAAGGAAAAAGAAAAGAAATTGCTGACAGTCCTGAAGAACAAATGAAGCCTTACCTAAGTCTCCGAAATGAGCAGCTTCCATGTGACTTGGCTGCTTCTTAAGGGCAGCTGTCCGACTGCTAGAAAAAGAGTCCATGTTGGCAGAGATGGCATTAATTGCCACATGGCTTGGTCCTGCAGCCTCCAGCAAGGCATGATTTCTAGTGCTTCTTTGAGGGGAATGTACAGGTACTGGAGCTGGAATTAAGACAGCAGTGATTAAAAGAAAAGGACCCTACCACCATTTCTATGCATTATCCAACGTGAACCACTCCCAGAATAAACCAGAGGGGCTGCAAGAGTATAGCATCCCTCAGTTCTTTTAAAACATGGCTGCCTACTTGAGCCAAAAGAGCACAAAGAATTCCCTCATACAAAACTCAAACACATTAAAAGCATCAACTAATTATTGCTTGGTGACAGAGCTGGAAAAAAGCAGCGTGGCACAGCGAGGCCAGTTTCAAAAGCTCATGGGAAGCTGCATTTCATTAGCATGTCAGGCAAGGACATCTCACACCTCTCCTGTTAAAAATAAGCGAGTCAGATGACACGCTATCTCAGCACTACTTCATCGTGATGCACCTCATCAAGGTGTCAGGGAAGTTGGTGTTCTTGACTTTCATGCTGCATCACTTTATTTTTATTCCCCATTTGGTGACGTGAGATGACAGGAGCTGACGATTTCACACTTATACAGCACTGTGACAGATCACTTGAAGCAGCAGAACAGGAGGACTAAAACATCCATTACAAACACTTTAGGAGAGGTTGTTCTAAATCTAAGCATCAAAATTGCAAAGGACACAACAAATAAGCAAGGAACTTCACAAGGAATTCAGCTTAGAAAAGGAGCAGCCGCTCCTTGCAAGGTGACTGAGTTTTGTGATTACCCTGCATTGAAGCTCACATCTGACTTAATTTCATATTTCTAGATTCAGCAGATTGGATGGGAAAGAGCGGAGCTACGAGCACTGAAGAACAGAACCAAGTAGGGTCCATTCTGTGTTTAAGGCTTAGGCCACGTTTTGCTCAGTTGTAAGGAAGTCCTCCCAGCAGTAAAACAAAAGTGGCAGATGACAGTACAGATCTGATGCTATAAATGAAATAAATATTGATCTTACTTTTAATTGCTTTCACATCTGCGGTCTTTTCTTGTTCTTTGCCTTTCACTGTAAAACATGAAGGGAAACGTTACTGCTGTTTTGAGTGACAAAAGGCATCCACCAGAGAACGAACGTGATATTTCTAACTTCAGCAAGTATCAAAGGAAGATGCAAGCCATCACCTTGTTCAAACGGATCTTAAATCTGCACATCTCAGAACTGATGGCTTTCCAAAGCTGTTGTGCTGCTTTAATTTCCAAAGCAAACCCTTCTCATTCATAAACTAAGCCTAACGAAACACACGACATTAGGATGATGATCTGGAAAGGTGCTGCCCAAGTGATTGAAGCAAGGCTAGGTTCAAGGTTACTTCAATAAACAGCACTGATGGGAAAGGATGGGACAGATGTTTTTTAAGAGCAGGGCACCAGCAGGTGCTCTCTGAGCCACAAGTCATGCCTGGAAAGAAAAGGAGAGCAGCAGTGTGTGCAGAGCCAGGAAAGGCCAAGTTAACACATAGCTCATCCCTGAGCACTGATTCTGGACACCTCCTAAACAGATCTGTGAGTAGTAACTGACTCCAATCAAACATTTACATTATAAAACATGAGGAGATTTTAAAAAAAAATGCTTCCAACTTCGACTGAAGTGTTTTAAATATTTTAAAGGGAACCATCAGCTCTGGTTACATAATGGGCCGCATGGCCGCACCACCACTGCCGGCCTGCATGGGGGGCGGGCAGGGCAGGATGGAGCCCTCAGGGAGGTTTAAGTCAGTGGTTTCCACATTCCCAGACACAGAAAGGTTTCAGCTGCAGCCACAAGACATGGATTCCTTTAAACTGACCTCCTGCAGCCAAATCCAACCTGGACACGAGCAGTGACAACAACCAGCTTTTACATAACCCCGTGCGTACTGATGTGAGGGAGAGACATCACTAAGAAATCCACATTTCACATGTCTGAAATAACACTGAGCCACAACACAGACAAGGCAACCCGCATGCAGCGTTACCAACTTCCTCTCTCTTTAAGGACACAAAGAGTTCACTCATCAAATTGAACCTAAACTTCTGACAATGATTCCCACATTTCAGCAGGAGTCCTCCACGTGCCCACCTTCCTCTGCTCATTCCTTCCCACGAGCCACTCGGCTCCTCCCTCATTCCCCACACACTGCTGCTAATACAAACTCCTGGGTCACACTGCCAACCTCTCTGTGCACACGCTGCTATCATTTCATTCAGAAAAAAAACCACCTGTTTTCATTTATACCCCACACTGTATCCTCTTAAAGAACAGGAGTCCAACACAATGACAGCGGAGCTTTTGTCCAGTTTTGGCCTGCGGGTCTGCAGTTTTATCATAAGCATTTATTTGCTGCTGCTCCCCCAGCTGCAGTTTGAGCTCTTATCTAAAGTACCTTTAATGCAGATAAACAAAACAATATTAATCCACATACAACCTGGATGAAAGCTCAATCATCTCCTGCCTTTAACAGTGCCTCCCTGGGTCATTCAGCTCCTGTTGTGCTTCTGAGGCCAGAGATTCTTCCACTAAAGCACGGCGCAGACACTATCATGCACTGCAGTGCTTCTTTGGTGAGAAAGTTCTCATGGAAACCGAGGCTGTTTGATGGTTCAGCACAGGATGGACCTTCAGTCCCTCACATCAGCCCCCCCCCCAACACGGCAGGCACAGCAGAAGCAGCTTGGAGCAGTTTGCTTACGGACAACACAGACGTTTAGATCTGCAGCTCCACTTCAGTACGCAGACAGCCCCAAAAGGATGACGGCACTCACAAAACCCGCAGCGGTTCACAACTGCTAAAATGACCCGAAGCGCGTTACTGCAGCCCCGCATTTCTGGAGCCCTGCTCGACCTGCACCGTGTAACACCCGCAAAACAACTCACGGGACCCTGCGGCGCCGATTCCCGTCGTCGTTACAAAGACCTCAGCACAGCTCGGTTCCTCTTTCCGCCAGAGCTTCGGCCGCAACGCGCAGCGCCGCGTCCCCAACAGCGCCGCACGGAGCAGCGAGGCGCCAGCGGCGCTCCGCCCGGCAGCGCCGGGAATGGCGAAGCCGCACCTCGGGGAGCCCCGCGCGGCCCGACCCAACCCCGGCCGCTCCCTCAGCTCTGCGCAGTGCCCGGGCCGCGGCTAGGAGAGCGGCACTCGGGGTTGCCCGCCCGCCTGCCCCCCCGCGGCCCTCCCCTACCTTTCCGCCTGAAGAAGGACATGGTGCCGGGGAGGGGGCAAAGCGGCCGCCGGGAGGGAGGGAGGAAGGGGCGGGGGGACGCGGGCAGCGAGCCGGGCTCCCTATGAATGAGGCGCCTTCCCCCGCCCGCCGCCGCCTCTCCCTCCGCCTCTTCCTCCCGCGGAGGCGCCAGCGGCCGCCATGTTGTCAACAACCGCCCCGCTCCCTCTTCCGGCTGGAGATGCGCGGAGCCTGTCGGGATGCGGCCGCTCCCCCCGCCCTCGGGCGGCCCGCCAATCCGCGGCGTAGGGCGGCCATCTTAGAAGAGGGCACGGAGCGGGGCGGCCATCTTGGAAGAGGGCAACGCGCGGGGCGTCGAAGCGAGGCGCCATCTTGGGAGAGGGCGGAGCGCGGCCCGGCCGGGCGCGGAATACAACCGGGCGACTCGGAAAGGCCGGATCGCCGAGGTGCGGCATCAGAATGCTCTCTTTGGCCGCGGGGAACGGGGCGGAGGAGCCCGCGTCCTTCATAGAAATCCCGAGTTGTCCGCCATGCGCTGAGCTGAAGGGCTCCGTCTGTGTTCAGCCGCACCGGCGGTTCTAACGCTGGGGGGCGCTGTGTGGTGCTGTGCTGTGGGTCACGTGGGTCCTGCGGTGCCGCCAGCCCGGCTCTCGCTAATTAACACTCATTAATTGCATAAGAGCTGCGCGGGGACCTGCGCGGCGCTGCCTGCTCTCAGGCAGGAGGCACAGCTCGGCAGCGCTCTGCAGCTTGTTCGCTTTGAATGTTATTTCTGCTAACTGGTGCTCTTTGATACGGCTCTGTGTGTGCCCAGAGGCCAGCTCGAGGAAGGTGATTTGCATAATGAGCCGAATTATTTAATTAGTGCGTAACCGGAGAGGTTGGTAATAAAGTCAAATATCCAGCAGGTGAACAATCAGAAGGAACGGGGTGAATCGCAGAGGGGAGGTGAAATGAACATCTGTCAGCATTGGAACCCAGAGCTGCGCCCCAGCCTGACCTCCAGCACCCCCAGGGCAACGCACAGCTGCTGGCTCTGCCTGCGCTGCAGTGCTGAGGGGCTCCAGGCCTGCTGGTCACCAGGAGGTTTTCACTGTATTTGCTGGGGTTGAGGCAGGATGTGCTGCATTGCAGAATCACGTGCTGGCTGAGCTGCCACTGCTGGTGAACATCTTATGGAAGCCTGATCCTTTTTTTGACACGTCTTCCTCCTATTGCCAGGCCCGTGGGTCACCACTAACACAGCTGAGCGGTGGTGGAAGCGAGCAAACAAGCTTTCTAACAAACAGCTTTGCTTTGGATGTTTCTGTTCAGTCAGCCCGGACCCTTCCATGCTGGGACACGCAGTCCCAAGAGGCTGCGCTGCCAGCTGTGAGGTGGCTGTTTTGCCATCAGGAAGGCAGGGCTGGCAGGGACCCGGCCAGCTGGCACCGTGCTGTTGGGAGGGTAAACTGTAGGCATCCCCCATCACACCTGATGAAGAAGACCTTTTATTTTGCAATTAATTTTCAAGCGGCGGCTCCTTTTCCAACAGACTAATCCAAAATCTGTCAAAGGCCTCGGGATAATTCAATTATCTTTTTATCAGATCCTAGATAATTGATGAAACCTCGAGCTACAAGCATGTTTGGCACGAATTACATTTACTGGACTGAAATTATCTCCCCCTTTTGGGAATGTGCAGAAAGGCTGAAGCTCCAATCCACGGTTCATCTTTCAGCCTCAGACCCTGGAGATTGGAATGGGGAACATGAGAAGCATCAGGTTGTGGAGTTTGTAACAGAACATGACAGATTAATTAACGGAATAATCAGTTGAAATATGACTTCAGGACATAGGTTGGCCAACATCAGAGCGGTTCGAGGACACCTCCCTAAATTAAAGTATTCAAAGGAAAATAGAAAGGTATCGTTGCTTGGTAATTTTTCCCTCTCTATAGTCTTGCAAACTAAACAAGCTTTTGTACATGAAAAGATTTACGTGGGATGTGCTTGTTTGGACAGAATTAATAAAGCAGAACAAGACTTTGTTGATAGCTTGGTGTCTTTGACTCACAGATAATTAATCACAGGGAACTGCCCAGCTCAATTACAGCACTCAAAAACCACATGTGTAACAAACCGTGTTTTGGGCTTTTTCCAGTTCTCACAAGAGAACAGAATGAATGAGAACCGAAGGGACAGAACAGGCACTCGTTTACCTACACGCATTTACGTGGTGTTGGGATTCCATCTCATACATCGATTTCTCACTACTTTGGGAACGCTGCAACAGAAATGGATATGAATGGATTTCAAAGGAAGGCAATTATCCCACGTAGGAAACCAAAGTGATTCCATTCAAACATTGCAGTCCCTCTTCGTCTCCTGCCGCTCTGCGTGTGGCTGAGCAGGAAGGCCTGCTGCAGGTGGGGGACTGGCACAAGTGAGGGCTGGGGGGCGGCTGTCTGACACGTCAGGGGCAAAACGTGAACGTGGGAGCGCAGTGCAGAACTGTGTGAAACACAACACGGCAGTCCCAGCAGGATGGCTGCACCCGGGGCGTCTGAGCTCTGTGTGTTTCTGCCGACCTGGGAACTTGGGAAAAGAACGCTTGGTGTGCTTTTGTCCCTTGTGAACTTTCCTCGAAGTTACAGGCTTACAAGCGCTCACAGCGCTTTTCAATGCGAGGAAAGGACACATCCCCGTGCAGCAAGACATCCCCAGAAGCAGCGCAGCGCTGCATCCCCGATGCTCCGTCTGAGGGCTCGGCAGAGAAGCGCTGCTCGTTCCGCGCTCCTCTTCGGGGCGCTCCCAGCGCGCACCGCGAGAGGGAGCGCGGCCCTCGGCTGCTGCGTGCGGTACCGGAACGCTGCGGGCTGCCCGGTGGGCACCGAACCCACGAGCCCAGATCTGAAGGGAAAGATCTTTTCCCTTCCCTTCCCTTCCCTTCCCTTCCCTTCCCTTCCCTTCCCTTCCC